CTACAGTAAGAGTTCATGGAGTGGTGGTGGTAGAGGGCTTAAGGAAACCCATATGCTCAGAAAATGAGAGGACTATTGTTTTCATCCTCTTGGTAACACATGAATCTCCCTATAGAAGCCTAGGGAACGAGAAGGTCCACCCAGCTATGGTTGTAATATTGGGGCTTATAGATTTTAATTTAGAGAAAATAAAGATAGGAAATGTTTCTGAAAAAGCTGAATTTTCTGATGAAAAATCTACTTCTGGTACAGTGTCTACAGGTTGATCAGAGACATCAGAAATATTATAGAAAAAAAACTGGTTGGCTTTGAAATAGACCAAAAGTGAAAGATGGGAAAATGGTTTTGGCAATATTTTTAATAATATGGATGAATATATGACATGATAAACATCATATAATAATATGTGTAATAAATTGGTATGATGGGATGCAAGGTTACCTGTTTCTTTTGTTTAGTAAGAATTACTAATTAAAAGCACAGTTTCATATATCCAATAATAGTGCAGGCATGTTTGAGTTGAAAGAAAACGTCTATACCCGAAAGTCAAACATCAATAATCTCAATTGATTTAAATTTGTTGCCCCGTGACATGCTGGCCATTTTTATTCAGTGGTATTTAGACACACTAGATAGTGATATACTTAATACAACAGGAAAATTGCTGATTTTGTTCTTAAATCTAATCTTGTTGCTTAACTCTTTCCCAATACTTTCTGTTTTCTGGAGTTTCAATAGTAATAAAATACATTTCAAAAAGAAAAAAATTAGCATTTCCTCCCAAGTGAAATAAAATCAAATAAATGAATAAATAGTAAACAACTTACACTGAAAATCAGTTATAAAATCTGATTTACTCATAATGTGTTTATACCCTAGAAAATTATAATGAAATGACTGAATTTTTTCATATATCTTCTTTCTAATTCCACTACATATAATAATTTAAATACTATTTATACACATACATTTACACAAATATTAAACCAATTTTCTGATTAAAAAAACTGCAGAGATTCTTACAAACATATTTTGTGGTCCAGTATCTTTTATACTTTTTCCCTGAAATAAAATGTGCAATTGGGATGAACTATTAATTAAAGAAGTGAGCAGTTCTGCATGTTTTTCATTCCATAAATCTTTTCAGACATTCAGGAGAATGTCTGCTATACTTGAATACAATTAATAATAAGCTTTAATAATTTTCAACAATGATTACACACTTTGTTTTCACATTACAAATGCTCTTGTAAAAAAAAAATTTCCTTTTACTCTGTTTCAAATATTCAGAATATTATCAAAGGCTAATCTTAAAATAATTTGATTTGTCAAGAAATAGCTTCTGCTTTCCCTGGTTTTATCATTTATATAGTGTTAAAACCCATTATCATTCAACAAATATTTACAGATTTACTGGAAATATGCCATTATCCACTTTCATTTAATGGGTGACTTAAAAAGAAAAAGGAATAGAGAAGAAAAATAAAGAGGTTAAATAATGAAACATAACAGGTAGTGTAAAAAATAAAAAGTTTTTTTTTTCTTTTGTAGCCTTATATCATGGCAGTAAAAGCATTAGATTTTTGTATTTTCTGTTTGCCAGAGGCTCTTATGTCCCTGAAGAATTATTCCCCTAAGATCAGAAAGAGAAAATAAAGGCATACACATATTTTTAAAATTTTGCAAACATTAGGGCTTCCCTGGTGGCGCAGTGGTTGAGTCCGCCTGCCGATACAGGGGACACGAGTTCGTGCCCCGGTCCGGGAGGATCCCACATGCCGCGGAGCGGCTGGGCCCGTGAGCCATGGCCGCTGAGCCTGCGCGTCCGGTGCCTGTGCTCCGCAACGGGAGAGGCCACAGCAGTGAGAGGCCCACGTAGCGCAAAAACAAACAAAAAATGTTGCAAACATTAAACAAATAGGACTAACAGTATTTCCACTGTATTCTCTTAAAATTTTGTTTCATTGAAATCCTTTTAAAGAAGTTTTTGTTCTGCCAACATCTCTTATTCAGGTGCCTGGAGAAAGGAAATGTGGGTGGCAGTGACTAACCGAACTAGCAGCTATTGTTTACCAAACAAATTTGGACAGATTTTATTTGTGATTGCCTAATGGAATCAAACCCATAGAGTACAGAGTCAGACAACCTCAGAGGGCAATTGGGGTTTTTGTTTGTTCAGGTTTTTTGTGTGTCTTTTTTTTTTGCCACACCTTGCAGCTTGCGGGATCTTAGTTCCCTGACCTGGGATCAAACCCGTGCCCCCTGCAGTGGAAGCGCGGAGTCCTAACCACTGGACCGCCAAGGAATTCCTGGCAATAGGGTTTTATAACTGATGGCATCCTGAGTAATCTGACCCATTAAAGATCATTAACATTTATTGGCCACCTACACTGTGAAGTACTGAGCAAGGCTTTACAGGTCACTTTTGTCTCAGACCCTTTCTTCCTTCCTACTTGCTGTTTCCTCTTGCTTGAAGTGCTCTTTCCCCTTATCCTCTCATTTCCTTTGGTTCTTCTTTCAAAAGTCATTTTCTCCATGAGGCCATCTATGTACAGCCTATTTCAAACTGCAATCTTCATAATTCCCCAACACTCCTTATTCTACTTCCTGACTTATTTTTTCTCTATAGCACTTCCCACCATCTGACATAATAATTTTGTTTATATGTTGTTGTTTGGCTCTGCTGACTTGAATGTAACCTTCATGATATTTTGTTTGCTTTGTTTTATCCACTACTCTTTCTCTAGCACTTAGAACAGTGCCCAAGAAGTAGCAGTTGCTCAATAAGTAACTGTTGAATGAGTGACTCTCCTTTTTGAAGTGCTCTCTGATTTCCTAAAGCAAACTTAGGCATTTTCCTTCTGGGTGTCCATAAAAACTATAACATGCACACAATTTATTTGTTCACATGTCAGGATGTGTGACTGACTCTGAGTTTAACTACAGGGACAGGGCTCGTTACCTAGTTTAGAGAGCCCAGCGCAAAATGTGAATGTGAGGTCCCTTGTTCAAAAGTTAAGAATTTCAAAATGGCAACTGCCAAGTATTAAGCCAAGTGTGGAGCTCTTCTAAAGACAGGTTGTATGCTCCTGAAGCTAGCCCTGAAGAGGAACTATACATGTTATCTATTCATCTTCATATCTCCTAAGTGAGTAATGTCTCTGGTACATAGTAGGTTCTTCATAAATGCTTGTTGACTGAATGCATGCATATTTATCTGGAAGAAGAAAAGAAGATAAAAGGAATTTTTAAGTAGGTCACTTATATAGTACCATCACAAAACAGTCCTGATTTTTGGAAACATAATTAAAATGGGGAGCCTGAAGTAAGCTAAATGTATTTTGCAAGTGATATAACAACTTGCAGGGGAAGTCAGGATTATGTGTTGCCCTTAATTTTAATTCACTGTGATCCAGATTGATTTTCAGAACTTTCTACGTTTTCTATTTCAGAAATGAAAAACAAATATTGAGAGAGATATGATCCTGATCTACTCTATCTTACCAAGTAAGTCTTTATTTTATTCAAGATGTAAAGCAACATCTTTTAAGACAATGTTTCCTAAAATCATAAAGGTGATAGATTTGATCAGTAGTGCATATATTTTGTGATTTAACTGTAGTAGCTAAAAATAGGCAATCTAGTATCTCGAGACCTTTTTTGTTTCCTTGATACAAAAAACAAATATATCAGAATATATTTCTATAATATTTATTTGATTACAAATAAGTTGGTTCTCAACTCCCAAGTAGGAGAGAGATTTTTGCTATCAGTGTGTTCCTGTGGCATATTTTAGAGAAAACAGGAATTTGAAAATGAGCTTTAAATCCCAAGAGAATTTCCCTTAAATTTAGAAGGCATGTCTATTTACAGGTCACTTCAGAAAAAATGGTTATTCTATTTTCTTTTGTGCTGACTAAAAAAAAAAAAGTCCATAGGTCTCTGTAATCTGCAGTGTACTGAATAGACAGATGAAAAGAGATATGATTGAATTAGTAAATAAGAGTGAGCCTTCTATAGGAGCAGATCCTTCTATGCAGGATCTTCAGTTAATCTATTCTTTCTTCATTTCCTCAAGGTCAAGGCAGCCTTTTCCTATAAAGGACAGCAATGATATGATAATACCTCATATCTGTATAGCAGCTTTTATTTTTTCAAAGGACTTTTTTTCTGTTCTCACAGTATCATTGTTAGGAAAATAGAACAGGTAGGTTATTTTTATATCCTTCAGAGAATTGTGCATACATGCACAGAACAAAACTTATAAAAAAAGGGAAAAAATGAGGAGAAAGTAATGAGTATGAGAATTCAATGAGTATTTAGAATAGATTATTTTTGCTATAGTTAAAAATTCATTGTTACTTTAATATTTTATTATTGCCACTAAAGTATATCCAAATCTGTCAAATTTTAAATTTATTATTCACTTGCAAGCACTATAAGAAGAGAGAAATAAATTATTAATTCAATGTGGATGTAGTGTCATGAAGATTTTTCAATCTTTCTTTTAAATCTCCTATAAATCAGTATTGTTTCCTTAAATTTGCAAAAGTATATGTTATAATTGCTTACTTAGTGTTTTCCGAACATCATATAGGTATTTTTTCTACATAAGAAACTCAAAATATATGTGATAATTTACCATATTTTGAAATTAGCATATATGATGATATTCTCTAAATTCATAAAATAAGTCAAGGTAAAGTCATAAGCTACGGAATTTGGTATTTTTTTACATTAATTTTTATTGGAGTATAGTTGCTTTACAATGTTGTGTTAGTTTCTACTGTACAGCGAAGTGAATCAGCTATATGTATACATATATACCCTCTTTTTTGGATTTCCTTCCCATTTAGGTCACCACAGAGCATTGAGTAGAGTTCCTTGTGCTATACAGTAGGTTCTCATTAGTTATGTATTTTACACATAGTATCAATATTGTATATATGTAAATTCCAATCTCTCCAGAATTTGATATTTTGAAAAACCAAATTAATAAAAATTTCATGGGCTGATTCATTAAAATATCCAATAATTCTGTGTTACATATAATCAATGACTTGAATAAATCTTAAACTTAATGAATATAATTCAAAACTTTTTAATTTTTTGGACTAGAAGAATACAACGTGATTATTTTGAGAATTAACTGGTTTCTTCTGGACAAATTAAAATCTAAAGATCACTTTTCTGCATATATTCTATTCTTGATGTGTCTAAAGAAGGAAACAGTTAATGAGAATTGCAAAACCTGGAAAAAAAAGGAAACAATAAGAGATCAAAATGTAATCAATAAGAATAATTTGTAAAGCTAATACTATATGATCACCAAAATGTATTCTGTAAATGGAAAAGGGATCAAGGAGAATAAGAAAATTTCAGAGTAAGGTACATATGGTTGTGGATAAGAAGTCTGCAGAATGAGTCTTGTAGGGTAACCCAGCTGTCACCAAGTTCATTTATAGAGGGGGCTAAGGAATAGACTGCTCAGTTTTAATTACATGGGCTATCATTGGGCTAGATGCCTTGATGAACTGCTGATGTTTTGTGTTCATCATCTTTCTAACTTTGTCATCACTCCTACAAAACTCCCTCCTTTTGTTACAGGATCATGAAAGGTGGTCTGCAAAGGGTAGATGATAAAATGGAGCACAGATAATATCCCCCATTCAGTCTTGCCTTAAATACCTCAGCATGAATAGAGAATAAACATTTAAAAAGAATGATATCGGTGCTTATAAAAATGTCTTGTTTACCACTATCCTGAGACTAACACTGTTACCAGCTGAAGAGAATTTATGGAACTTTAGGTCAGTGCCTTTGTGGATCAACATAAAATTAAATTTGGTATCCTATTTTGGCCAAACCACGCATTACGTATTTATTCCAACCTTTTAGTCTACACAGTAATAATCTATCCACTCTCACAGTTTCTTTGAATCCATAGCCTTCCCTAGCTTTCATCAGTCTTCACTGAAACTGGAGAATGAAATACTACTTCTGAACCTTGATTCTGCAGTTGGCGCCCTGGAGGTCAAGGAATATGTAGATTTGGCTTCCCATTGTATCTCTAACATCTAGTACAGTACCTGACACACAGTAGATGTTCTCCCCCCCCTCCAAATTTATTGAATGAATGATTGAGGCAATGAACAAATGAGTATTTGAGTGAATAGATTTACTAATGTCAAACATCAGCCTAGATTTAAGAAATTTGCCAGCTTGCAGACTGCCAAACATGGTCCTCTCACTGCCGAGATAAGAAGTATTGATATTTCTAAAAAAATCACAAAGCAATGAAATCACCACCTCCCAGGATGATAACTTATTAACAGACTCCACCCAGGCTGACTTAGGGATATCACCTCCAGTTGGGACCTATTCCTCTCCTGGGTGTGAACAGTCTCAGTGTCCTGGCTCCTATTGGATTAATTTGTCTGATGAGGTCTCCACCGGGTTGTTCTACAGTTTATCCTATATAGTTTATACTTAAATTTTTTATCTTTAAACATATAAACAAAAGCTTACCTCTGAAGCCAAAAGTCCAAAGTTAATTCCAATTAATGTTAAAGCATTAGTATGATACCATGTGTTGATTTTATTTTCACAACCCTAAGGAAAAGAACTTACTTAGGCTGACTTGGAGATGGAAATTTTTGTGTTTTTTTGGAAATGTTTTTATACATAATTCTATTACAAAAAAGAAGAGACACAGAGATTAGTAATTTACCAAAGTCTAAAAAGCAAGTCAATGTCTAACTGGAGACTGGACTTACTAGCCCAGAAAGCTTCATATAATTGCAGGACACCTCGGTTGCTACTTTTAAAGTTGCTAAGATGTTGTCATGTAGTTGAAATCAGAAATTTAGTTTTGAGAGGGATTTGATTTTCTACACGCTACTGTAATTCAGCATACTACTGCCTAAAGTGATACTTCCCAAATAGGAGAATCTTTTAAGAAACATAATACTCCATTTATCTATGAATGAATTATGTTATTGAAAGATACATCTTAAAAATAGAATAACATCAGTATATAAACTACAAAAGAATAAGTTGTTCTTGGGATGGAAATCCCTAGTTTATCAATATTCTGTATCTGTAAATAGCAGTTGCTACAGATGAACTTCTACTCTTGCTTCTGCCACCTTTACCTAAACACCATTTTTGTCACTGCTGGGGTTTCCTCCCTCAGTTTTTGCCAAACCTCATGCCTCTTTACTTCTGCTATTGCAGCTCCTTTACCAATCCTACACAACAGAGATTTGTCAAAAGTGCCTCTTTCATCAAAGGATGGTTGAGGAGAAAGTTGATGGTATCCCAAGTTCTAGGAGAACTTATATCACATACTCCAGCAAGTTTAATTAATTTGTTATATAACAAATAATACAATTCACCTTGCTGTGGTTTCATTTTAGTTAAGTTGCTTAAGAACCTAATAACCATGAATGACATTGCTTTTAATATAAAAAATTGCTCAGAATTCTAAAATGACTTGCAAAAAAAAAGGTACCATAAACACTTGGAGAAGGCTTAACTTACATTTACCTCTAGGTAAGTTGCATTCAGTGGCTCATCACAAAACCACTTTCTTAATGTAGAATTTGTGCAAGAACATGGCACCTGTTCTGAATTTTCTTTATTCTTATTCTTCAACCAATCTGTGTAATTTTTTTGGCCACAACACTGTAACTAGAAAAAAGATTCTATAAATTTTACTATAAAATATTGAAAATGCAGTTAATTATATGACTCCTATGCATATTAAAGTGGTTTTGTGATAAATTTATTAATTTATTCTCCATTCAAATGTAGTGAATTAAAACAATAAGTATATTTTTGTTTGTTTAATCCATTACCTTGTTGCTGCTATGGTTGATGTTAACCAGAGCTAAAGATCTCTACTCATATAAGTGGGCTATGTATGAATGAAATTGTTATATCTGAATTTACCTTATAGAAGCTCAGGATGAAAGATATACTTGATTTACTAAACCATGTTTAGATCCAGAACAGAAGAGAGAATCACCTTAGCCACACCTTCTCTTAACTATACCAGTTTTCTTTATAATTTATCCAACATGTGCTGCCATATGTGTTAAATATACATAGACTCAAGGTTATTACTACTTTCTTAGGGTATCAAACCTTCCTAAGATTTGATACCCTGCTATCAGTCATAATGCAATCTGAAAATGCAATACATGTTCAGATCACATACATCAGTGAAAAACATAAGATGAAGAAAATCATTTATAATACATTTAAATTCTCCTAAAAAGCATTTCTGTTATTAAATATACTAAAAATAATAACTGTGCTTATGTGAGGCTCTGGTGTAGTAGCTGAATACAAAATCTAGTGCTAGATTGTCTGGGATTGAATCTTGGCTCTGCCACTTATTAGCCAAGTGATACTGGCTAAGTTACTGAATTTCTCTGACCTTCATCTATAAAACGAAGATAACGGTTCTTAACTCATTGGGTTGGGAGGACTAAATGAGTTAATATATGAAAAGCACCTGTAAAAGGGCCTGGTGCTATTAAATGTTTGCTTTTTTTTTTTTTTTTTTTTGGTGTAAAGCACTTACTATGTTCCCCTTCTGATCTACTCTTGTAAACAATTTGGCTGACTACACACACTCCCTTACCTTGCCGAGAAAAATCTGAACTGTGAAAATAATAATGCTAACAACATTAGCTAACAAGTATTAGTTGCTTACTATGTCCCAGATCCAAGCCTTTCTCTATATTCCCTACATTACTTCCTTTATTCTTAACAACCAGAGGTAGGGGTCATTCTGCCTATCTATTTTGTTAATATGGTACGTGAAGTTAAGAAGGTTTCTTGGGCTTCCCTGGTGGCCCAGTGGTTGGGAGTCCGCCTGCCGATGCGGGGGACGCGGGTTCGTGACCCGGTCCGGGAAGATCCCACATGCCGCGGAGCGGATGGGCCCGTGAGCCATGGCCGCTGGGCCTGCGCGTCTGGATCCTGTGCTCCGTGGCGGGAGGGGCCGTGGCAGCGAGAGGCCCGCGTACCGCAGAAAAAAAAAAAGAAGGTTTCTTATCCAGCATCACAAAGTTACTGCGTGGCAAACCTGATGTTCAGGCTCAAATGGTAACCACCAGGATACTATGCTGCCAGCAGGGGCTGTGCTTAGACCCTATCTCCCCATGGGGGCGACAGGGTAGATTATTCCACTTGGCAGTAGACTCCCAACACTTTTACACATGAATTCAGGTTAAAATGCACATCAATTAACCCAGAAAAGGAGATACACATTACAAAAGAAAGATAAAACTCAAGATCTTAAGTTGAGACAATCCTATCCCACCCTGTTGGTTTAGATGAAATACAAGAGCCTCTAATTCCTGTGCCCCATTCCCTGTCCTTCCTTCTCTCCCCATTTCTCAGCAGCAGTCACCTTTGGCGTCTAATTTTTAGTTTTACGCTAATTTCATCTTACTGTTTTCTGCAAGGCATTTAGAATCGTCCACTTGGGTATGTCTTCAGGCAAGTCCTTAGATCCATACTCAGAAATGACTGAATCAATTTTATCCTGCCATATTTGGTGAACCTGTTGAAAATTTTATTAAAAGTGAAAATTTGATAGAAACTTTCCTTATGGTTCCTCATAAAAAGTATTCAAAGTCAGTTTGTTGTTTTCTAATTATTTCTAGGTGTTTTTTTCTTCCTTATAACTATTTTTAGCAATCAGTGAGTGTGGAGGCCTTTGGTCTTTCACACTGTGATCTATAGGAAGACTACATTAGACTTGGTTTCTGGTTAGGGAGAAAGTTATGTGCTGTTCTCCTGAGTGTCGAAGGGTTCTACATTTCTTTTTACACCCTCAGGAAAAATTGTGAAAGGCTTTTAAATGGACCAAAAAAAATGGCTGAGGATCTTTTCAATGAAAACTAGGCTTTCTCTAGTACACCTTCAGGGTCCTCTGTTTCTACGAGTCTGTACGTTTCCTAGTTTTTAATTTATCTTACAACTTTGTAAGTTGTAGAAAACTGTAGTTAGGCAAATGATTCTTTGTCAGAGAAATGCAGATGAATTTTTCCTGGTGGGGATGGAATCGATCTGTCCCCTTTCCAAGCCTGTTTTGTTTCGGTTTTGTAGTGTCTTCTCTTTGGACTCTCCTTTGAATTGGTTTTTATATCTTAACTGGTTCCTGCATTAAACAAGATGTTAAATAAAATTATTGACCTGTGTCTATTGTATATTTTTACAAGAATTATGATTTTTAATTAAAAAAAGTCTTTTCACAATGCTAAAACAAAAACAATCATGTGAAAGTTTGGAGGAAAACTGCTATTTTGAAATCTAGATTTTGCAAAGGTAGTTTTTAGTAGGAACTTTCTTAAGCATTTAGAAGTTTATATGACTTTCATAACTAATTCCTAACTTGGTCCGGTAAAATAGCAAAAGGTAGAAAGGCCAGGGACTTCCCTGGAGGTCTAGTGGTTAGGACTCTGCACTTGCACTGCAGGGGCAAGGGTTTGATCCGTGGTCAGGGAACTAGGATCCCGCATACTGCACGGTGAGGCCCCCCCAAAAATGGTAGAAAGGCCAGACATTATTTGTATTTTATGAACACGGATATAGATACTCAGAGAATATGATTATTTGCTTTGTTTACATGAATAAAGAAGAGGAGCTGAGACTTCTAAATATAATTCATTTGGATTCTAGTCTAATAATTTCTCATTGTAATATGCTGTTCTTTAATAATGAAAACTAAATAACTGGTGGGAATACTACAATAATTAAGACATCTGTACAAGTTAAACTTTTACCCACTTACATATCTATGCTTTAATACATTTAAGAAGATTGGAATAAAATAACATGTTATTTAGATCTATAAGTGATCAATTTAACATATTCCCTAAGTTAATTTTTATTTAGAATAGAAAATGATGTTTTTCCATTTTATATTTTTGTGGAGAGGGGGCAGACTTATGTCCTTACTTATCTTCTAAAGCATTACTTGGGAGATTCAGAGTGCATATGAATCACACCTTAGTACATAAGAGTAAAAATGATTTTCATATATAATCTAGGTGGCTACTATATAAGTAAAATTCCCTCACACATATTCAATATGACAAACAACCCATGAAGACCTAGTGCATCTCCAACACTGAGTTAGGCACTGTAAATGACATAAACTATTTAGAGGCTCATGAGAACTCAGTCCAGTCTGAATGTAGAAAGCAAGTGATGTAAACAAAGCTGTCATTTCTGGGATCAGTTAATAAGGTTAGAGTGCAGACTCCTTCATTTGGCTATGATATATTTTAGCATGTGTGTTCTCCTTTCAAAGCCTCAGTTTCCTGTCCTAGAAAGAAGGATTTACAATGCATCTCTAGGAGTTGTTGTGAGCATCAATAATGTAGTGCCAGTAAAGTGCTTATCACAGTCTCTGGCACATGGTAGTTATTAGTAAATGATAGTTCTTATTCTTAAAATAGGTAGAGAGGAGTATGTGAATAATAAATAAATATAGGTGCCACTGATTAACTATATTCATGTGTTAAGGGTCCTTAAGTGTGATATTCAGGTTCCATCACCAGGTCCAAAAGTTAGAGGCTGATGGGTTGGGATCTGGTGCTTTGCCACCAAAACAGCTTTATAGGACTCACTTGAGTGTGTGCACACACACACACACACATACACACACACACACACATTTTGGATATGGAAAGAAGAAATTTTAGCTCCAAATGCCAAACCATTAACAACAGGCCCTAGATAATTAGATATCCAGGATAGATGCCAAGCACAAGAGAGCAAATGAAATTGGAGGGCAATGGTGTTGTATAGGAAAGATTTTGTCGAGGTTTGGCCATTAATTAGGAGTTGATATATAGAAAGAATCTGAAGGCTAGGAAGCCTAGAAATTAATCCGGTTCTCCTTCAAAATCAATTGAGGGAAGGTAGAGAGCTCCCAAATAGCTACTCTATAACAGGAACTTTATAATCATCAGTTAATGATAACTCTATAAGGTAGGTAGATGAAGACATAGGTTCAGGGATGTTAAATGGCTTGTTATCTAGTCACATGCCGATCTGTATGACTTCAAGTCCATGCTCTTATTGCTACAGGAGAGTCTCCCATGAGACAAAGTCAGACCTTGACTGTACTGAAACACTGACATTTCTTAAAGAATTAAAAGTCTGTAGGCTGTAATAGGTAAGTTTTGCTACCAAAAAGGTTTTTCAGGTAATTTATTATGTGCTTTTTTGAACTTGACTTGAAAAATATAAATCTTGTTCTAGTTAACTGTATCACTCATGACCATACCTGTACAAAATATATGAATTATTCAATAATCTTATTTAAATGAAATTGCTAAATTTAAAATTTGTACAAATCTAAAGGTATTTCTTTACAAAAATAGAATATAGTACAGTGATGGAGTCAGTAGTGGCAACCAGGGTTGGCTGGGGGGCCAATTTTGGATATCCCACAATAAGCATCATCTCCTCTTCCCCTACATTCTTTGTTATTTACAACATTCTCAATCTTCTGCAGACAGAGTTAAAGACAAGTTCTCCTAGCCCACCATTCCAATCTGACCCCTGTCGCCTTCCTATATGGAATTATAGTACTTCCATTGAATCCTTTTTTTCCCCCAAAGACATTTACCTTTAGCTTTTAATATAGGTTTAGGTCTCAATAATCTAAAGTATCTGCTTTTCTTTACTTTTCAAATAAAAGGATGATGTTTCCATACCTCCTCTTTCTTTGTGAAGATGAGTGCTGAAAGTACAACTTGAACACCAAAGGCCCACATTAACAGTACTGCATACTAAAACAAAAGAAACACAGAAATGAGAACTATGCTCCTAATATATTTTTAGATGCTACAATGATGGGAAAATGCACATCACATGAAACGTACAGTCTTAAAATACATAGGTATTGCTGAAGTTTCCTGTTCTCATACATGAGTGAAATTATTGAAACAAAAGGCAAAGAAAAAAAATCAGTGAACATTTGGATAAGAGTAAGATAGAAAGAAGTGATAGTGCTTCATGAGAACTCTAACAGACTACTTGGTCTAATGGAGTTGATGATGATACCTTCTTCATTCAGATCTAAAACTGTCATAGAGGGGAACTTAAATATCTAGACCTCCACTTACACCATTCTGCTACCAGTGGAAAACTCACTAAATTGTGACCTACCATGTAAACTATTCCATCATGCACAAAGTAACAACAGCAACAACAATAAAAATAATGAGAAAGTAACAAAGGCAACGGCAATAGTAAAGTTAATCTGTATGCACATTTGGACTATTTCTTTGAAAACTGAAAATACTTCTATCCAAAGCCAAACAAAATGATTTTCACATTATTTGACTATTTTCTTTTTTTTAAACATATGGCCACTGCAATTTTCTTCATCATAGCAGTGAATAGTGATACATATTATCTAGAATTCAAAATAATTTTAAAAGTTAGCAGTCTGAATATTTTACTAACTAAAATATCAATATAAGCAAGGATGATTTACTGTTAGTATTCTTAGTTTCACCTATTTTAACCATTTAGTACTTTAAAATAGTCCATTAAAATTGTTTACTTGACAAATATATTTCCTATTTTCAGAGACAAAAATATGGTCTTTAGATCCATTTAGAAGTTTAGATTTTTAATACTTCTACACACAACACCTTACTTAATCTTCACTGCCAAGGGATAGTAGTGAAGACAGGTAGAGAAAGGGAAAACTGCGCAAAACAATTGTTTTAAAAAAGTCACTGGGTTTCTTTTCAATGGCAAGCTGCTTATTGTCTGTGGACCCTCCCAGGTTTCTGATTCAATGGGAGTATGAAATATTACCTTTGACTAAACTATTATTCAACTCTGCAAAGAGTTAACTTATACAACTCTGATAGTAATACAAAAGTTTCCATAGCAATGCAAATGATTACTATTCATGAAAATGCTAATGAATAGTCTATAGAGAATATAAATCTCCACAAGCTTAATTCTTATTTAAACTGGTTGTTACTTCTTACTGGTTCCTCTATTAATTAATTATATAAATAAAGTCTCTGATACATGCTCATTTTCATATAGGTGATTCATGATTTTACCTTTGAAAATTATTTTTTAACAGCAGTTAGATATTTACAGAAGAAATATTCAGTGTATTTATGTTATTAGCACTTAGAGAGCACAGTGAGAGACTGCTGGAGAACTTTTAACAGGAAAGTGAAATTGTCCCAAGGAGTTAAAATGCAAAAGTAATATCTATTTGACTAGAGTAGGAGCATGGAAAATCACCTTTAAGCCAGAGAATAGTGTTTAGGCCTATATAAGATTTGCCCATAGCTTGACTATGTGAATTAACATGGTTAAAGAAAAAGTGTGTCCATCAAAAAAGTATTGGTAAATTCAGAGGAGAATAGCAAAAGTGTCGTGATTACAAAATGTTGCAATACTCTTCCATGGACCGTCCGGAAGGGAGAATGGTATCTTGGCTTCAGGATCTAAGCTATCAGGTCCTAGTAGCATGTATATTCCTTATGATGGGGTCTGTCAGGCTTTCTTAGTCACAGTCCATTAATACTTGAATTACATGAGGCAGAAACTTATAAGATGTTTATGTTTTTCTCCCTCAAGTTGCCTCCTTCCTTTCCCATCCTCAAACCACAGCATTATATTAATAGCAGGCTTTCTGTCTCCTTTACCTAAATGGGAATTTGTGGCAAGGAGAAAATTAAAATTTTCCTGCAAATCATTTCTGTCCTGGTTTCCATATCCAAAATCAGAAGCCCCATGAGAAAATTATGTTATAGGCCCTGGGAGAAGAGAAAGATAAAATTTGAGAATAGAGGTTGTGCCTTTGAGGAGAGTAAGAAGAGAGAGTGAAGTCTTTTTTAGACTAAAAAGATTGTGAGACTGATCCTAGAGTCTGCAGATTCTCAAAGCAATGGGGGCTAGCACTTGGCTTCCTGGCATTGCCATGGTAAGGAGGCAAGACCCAGAGGGAAATGAAGGTGTGGTTTCCAGTGTTGCCTAAAATGTCTCTGCCATGGGTAATACTCAAATAATAATAGGCAGCAATTATTAAAAATAGGCAGTAACGAATTCCTCTGTCAGGCATGACTCCTTTAATTGCTGTGTCCTTGGCAGGGTTGAATGTCTCAGGTCTCAGGGAAGGGGAACTGCAGGAAAGGAACTGAGGTAATGGTTAATTACCAATCCTTCACAAAAGAATTTCACCGATATGCCTGTACTGGTATATACTGGATGAAGAACAGCGCTGCCTTTGCTGTCCTAGGCCATTCGAACAGCAGAATATGTAGTCCTGAAGGGACCACATCAGCTGGGAAAGTGAGTGCTTTCATGGTAACTGGTGTAGACTGATAAACAGAATCCAAAGTGACCACCCAGACTTTCAGCACTACATAAGAGCTAAGTATCTCTGCATTCTTCCTGGCAAGAGGGGCACAGTTGGATACATTTGAATTTCCTATCTGCTTCACAGGAAAGTGCCTGTGAATTAAAACTAATTTGATTTAAAGAAAATGTTAAAAGCTATATTTTACCTGAATCCACTGATTGTGATCCATACCTATCCCACGTATGATAAATGGCTCACGTTCATTATAATTTACCTTTTCATGTTATATGCCTGCAGAGAGATAGTGTGCTAGCCAGATGCCAGAGTCTGGCCCTCTCAGCAGTTGTATTTCTTTTTGTTAAATTATAAATTGTGATCTCAGTTACAAGTTAGCTTCCCACATGGCACACCCACAGGGAGAAAATGTGCCGACTACAGGCCATGTTTCCTTTTCCCTGCTAAACTTCATTGTTCGTTGCCTTTAACATACTGTATTCTGATTTTAGTCTTCAGATTTAAGTTTGGTTAATTGTAGTTCACCCTAGGAGATGGATTCTTATTGGCTCTGTGTTCAAAATTAATATCTAAGTGTGTAAGTGTTGAGGTCCAGATTTAGTCCGTGGGAAACTCACCAAGAAAATTCTACCTAGAAAAGATTCTTGGGAGGGGGCACTTCATGGCCTTATTCCCAAGAGCACATTGTACTGCAGTGTTACAGTGACATAAATCATTCTTGCTCACGTGTGTGACTCAAACACTGAAAATCAAAGATACAGATTCAGGCTATTGAAATGAAATACGTACCAGAATTAGAAGCCATCTGATTTCACTGTGAATTCCCAAATAACCGAAGAGACAAAGAAGAACAGTAGCAGAACCAGTTCCAATCAAAATTCGAAAAATATATACTATCAAGTGATTATTTTCATCTGTGGAATCCACAAAACAGCTATTATTAAGTGACATTTGTTTTCTATTTAATAATAAATGCAGCAACCCAAGGTTTCCTAGGCAGCTGTCAACAAACCACTAGGATTCTCTTTCTCTCTTTTTTAACCTCATTCTGGCACCTCTTACTTGCTCTTAACAACTTTTCTTCCTTTAATGACATGATAGAGAATTTCCTCAATCTCAGAAGGTCCCTTTAACTTTACCTTATCTTTATTGTCTTCTATGAAAGAAGATGACTTTTTCTAGGGTGAATTCTTCTATGTCTAATGTACCTCCAAACATTTTTATATTCATTCATTCATTCATCAAAAATATTCTGAGTACTTAACACATGTGGGTTAAGTTTCCCATGTCTGAAACCCTGAGTTTATTGCTAATATGGTCCCGTTAAAACTGTATTTTATTCTCTCTCCATCTAGACTGAACTGTCTGTGCTAGAGACTATATATATTTATATAGTCAACAGGCTAACTGTTAAATGCTTAGTGCTATGGCACAGATGTAGTGCTTAACAATTTGTTTTTAAAGGGAGATAAATAAATTAAATATGCCCTAGATTTTATGGGAGAAGAGTAGAGGCAATGGGCAGTGGTGTGCTGGAACCAGATTGTTCTGGCACATAAAAGCCAACTGTTAAATTTTCACAAAATCTGTAAGCCAACTCAGTCCACACTGGCACCTTGAAATTGGCCATCATGGGATTATTTAAACCACAGAAATCAGCAAATACCATAAACTGAGACTCCATCCCAGGACATTTATCAGCACACCACTGGGTATAAGAGCACCTAATCTAGTAGGGGGAGAAGGTGAAGATATGCAAGATTACTGGAGAAGGTAACACCTGGGCTTAGGCTTTAAATTATAATTGGAAGTCTCTAGGTTGGAATGGTGGAAGCATTCTAAGACACAGAATGGTGCAGTGTGTGTAGGAAACTCAGCCTTGCTGGCATTTACAGTTTCAGGCAGGTGAGACTGGGAAGGTTTGCAGGGGTCAAATTATGAACATTCTATGTGCTGTTTTCTAGTCTTCCTCACTGGAATTACGCTCCATGAGGACAGGCCCTTTATCTTTCTTGTACACTTCTGTATCCTCAGCTCATGGGATAGTGCCTAACGATATGATATCTATATATATAGATAGATAGATAGATATAGATATATTTATATGTCTATATCTATCTATCTATCTATATATATAAAATCTCTTTATCCATTCATCCACTGATGTACATTTAAGTTGTTTCCATAGGGAATATTTTATTTCTAATTATGTGATGGTGACAGGATATGGTAACTGAGTTTTAAAAGAGATTATTTAACTTGGGCAGTGAAGCTATTTTGATCTCCATTATCCTTTCAAGTCTATAGATCTGTAAAAGTCCAGAGTCAGCAGAACAACCGCAATCTTCCATTTCTCTCATCTCTCCTGCCCAAAGTTCCTAGATCTCTCTCTCAAAATTCCCTCTCCTTTATGGTCTTGGATTTAAGTCTTATTATTTAATAAGGTGCTTTTAGAACAATTGGCAAAGACTTTCTGAGGAAAAATTGGACAGTACTTAATGAATTTTAGAGAAATACTGCCACCTGCTGAATAAATCATGTATGCAATTGTTTAACACTGAATTCCTTGTTTGATTTAGAGAAAGGAAAATAGATACATACCCAAAGCTGTGAAAAAATTATTTCTATCTATTAAAAGCCATGCACCAAATCCCATGAGTAAAAGTCCAAGAACCTACAAAAAAAGATAGCCAATACTTATTTTTGAACTAATTGCCAATATAAATGCACATTTTCTTTACTAAATAATTATGAAGATACTTACCAAAAAAGCTCCATTAATGAGATTAAGAAAGTATTTAAAAATTAATGTTTTGTTTTTCCTTAACATTCTTTTTCTCCCCATATACTGATGATTCTGAAAAGATAAACACAACTTTTACAATAAACACTCACCACAGTAATAACTTTAAATAATTCTGCCTACTCACATCCTTTATTTGCATATTTTTCTTCTCATACCAGCGGTCAGTAAAACATTCTCCTTTGCTCTCCTGAATATAAGGAAATACTGAAGATGTCTTGAAACTGTACCTTTCTTTCTTTATCTGCATTTTTTGGCCAGGCAGTCGAGACCAAGAGGGCATTTTTAGAACATGTCAATAGCTGCCTTACTGAACTCCTTGCAGTTTTCAGAAAATGAAATATTTTATTTTGTTTACAGTCATAACACACCTTGTTCTCCTTGCTAGAAACCTTTCCTTTACATCTGACTGTCCTTCTCTTTCCCAGAATAATGTTAACTCTTCCCAGAATAATGTTAACTCCTCACTGAGGTCTAGCCTTGGAAGCCTTTCCCTAATCTCTATTCGTTGCCTATTTTCATCTTTACTTGTCTTCCTTCCCATGTAGACTCTGAGGTCTTTAAGTGGAGAGAGTAGATCTTGTATACCATTACAACCCCGAGTCTAACACATGGTGGGTACAATAGCAATAGATATTTATTGAATGAATGAATCAATGAATAGGTGAATTAAATGATTTAATGAGCTTACAATTTACTTTGGTATACAGTGTAAGGAAGGGAACTAATTTAAGGTGGTTTTAAATAAAAATTATTTTCCAGATAGCCAATTTTCCTAAAACATTTATGTAAAAATCAATACTTGTCGGTTTTGGTGCTTGGTCTATTAGATATGGAGGTTTTACATTTTCTTGGGTATGTTTCTGGGTTTTCTTTTCTCCTTGGTTGTTTCAATTCTAGCTGGCTCAGTATTTTAAAAAATGTTTCAATACATGCAGTACATAATTGACCTGGTGAAAGTGAAACAGTATACAAGCCCTTGTGTCCCTGTCCTTTGAAGTAAAAGGCTTTTGTTTTAGCCTCCCAGGCCTCCCTTGAGTCTCAAAAGGCTGACTCAAGAGTTGATTGGGAAATGTGAAGATGTAGAAACAAAGAAGAGCTGTTGGGCTGGGGAACTGGTAACAATTTAGACTATAAATCTGCTACATAGCAGAATCATCCAACCCCCAGTTCCCTGAAAGACACTGATAAAGGCCTGACACACATTCATAAGTTGTTTTTATAGGAAGCAGACCCCCACCAGATGAAAACTGCTGACATATGAACATAGACCCTAGACTGGTTGAAACCAGAAGGTTGATGATGCTTGAAACTTCACTTGATGCCAGCCGGGCAGAGAACTGTGCACGAGCTGATCACGCACCCTGCAACCGTCTCCCTCATACTGCCTTTAAAACCCCTTCCCTGAAAGCCACGGGGGACTTTGGGTCTTTTGAGCAGGAGCTGCCTGTTCTCCTTGCTTGGCACCTCGCAATAAATGCCGTACTTTCCTTCAGCACAACCTGGTGTCAGTAGATTGGCTTTACTGCGTGTGGGTGAGCAGACCCAAGTTTGGTTTGGTAACAAAAGCAGAGTTAGTAGGACTAACTTGAAGCTGTTTGCCCCTAGTTAGGAAGAAACCCAATCCATTTGTTGAACTGAAAGATGCCTTAGAAAGTGGATAAGTAAGAGATGTCTAGGTTAGCATCCATGCACTTCCCTCCCTACTTCAATCCAAGGCCATAGTCCTCCTAAAAATTTCCAAGGTACTTCTTCCCAGCTTCAGGAGTCTCTCCAGGCTTTATCTTCCACCCTCTGCTTCAAACTCTCCCGCTATCATTTGGTTTCTTCAGTTTCTGTCCTCTAGTCTTATTCCTGGATTCCTCCAGTTCCTGGATTATTTGGATGGGACACTCAGTTGGAAAGACTGCTTGATTTTTATTTCAGTTTCTTTCCAAGACGTTGTAGATCTACATTTTGACTTCAATTCTATTTACTGCAGCATATGAGAAAGCTGTGATCCTCGTTCTACAGTCTGAATGAGAAGTTAAGCCCAAAGACCTAGCCTCTGTTTCTCTATGAATGAGAAAGAGAAAGAAGACTAATGAGTGAGATTTCTGCAGTGATTCTGGTGTGAAATGTTGAAGGCAGAGGATTGACTGTTGATTTGATAATAATTAGCAGGGTTGAGTCAAGGCTAAAATGTTTTGTCAAAGGACCCAGATACGAAACTAAACTGAAGTTTATTCTCTCTCAGTCCAAGATGGATAATGGGTTCTCTACTGGGAAATCATCTTAGGAACATGGCACTTTCTCCAGCCTGTTCAATATATGGCTCCCAAATTTGCTCAAGGTGTAATCCTTTACAGTCAGCAGAAAGAAAGAGGATGAGTAAACTTAGGCGAGCATCTTTTAAGCAAGTGAGGTGGAAGTTGCATACTTCTCTTCTTCTCATATTCCATTGGCGCATAGCGATTAATCACATGGCAATTCTCAGTTGGAGGCAGAGGTAACTATGTGCCCAAGATGAAGGAAAGAAGTGATTTAGGGTGGGAAAAGCCAAATAAAATGACCGATAGATAGGAAAGGGCAGTAAAAAGATAATTAGAGGGAGAAAAAGAGGGTTTTGATACATTTCAATATGCTTTACTACAAGCAAGAAAGAATCAAAGATGATCAGAAAGATTTTTTACGATGGGAAAATAAAAGAATGGTGAGAATCACTGGAATTGTTTGAAAAAATTTCATAAATTCCATAAATTTAATATTTAATAATTGGGTTTGAATTGGTAAAAGATACCCTTGTGGTTAAGCAATGGAGATGGAGTGCAGGTAAGTGGAGAGCATAAGCTATGCAGAACTGGGAGTCATCCATAGAGAGCTGTTATCTTGGGAATAAATGAAAGAGATGAGCGATTAACTATAGATAAAAATGAGCAGAGGGGCTTCCCTGGTGGCGCAGTGGTTGAGAGTCCGCCTGCTGATGCAGGGGACATGGGTTCGTGCCCCGGTCCGGGAAGATCCCACATGCCGCAGAGCGGCTGGGCCCGTGAGCCATGGCCGCTGAGCCTGCGCGCCCGGAGCCTGTGCTCCACAACGGGAGAGGCCACAACAGTGAGAGGCCCGCGTACCGCAAAACAACAACAAAAACAACAACAAAAATGAGCAGAGGTTTGATTGTAGAGAATGATATAATTAGGAATTTGGATTTTTTTTTAAAGCAGACTTTAAGAAACGAGAAAATAAGCAAAGTATGATTTCATGGAAACCAATTGAGCAAGAAATTTCTAAAATAATGTTACATGAAACAGATGTCAAAAGGAAGAGAATTCTGTACTCTCAAAGTCAGCTGACTTGGTTAAGGAGGATGTTCATGGTAACTTCAAACAGTAGGGTTTTAGTCCATTTGGGCTGCTATAACAAAATACCACAGATTAGGTAGTCTATAAACAACATAAATTTATTTCTCACAGTTCTGGAAGCTGGAAGTCTGAGATAAAGATGCAAAGTTTCAGACTTCTTTTATCCTCACATGGCAAAAGGGAGCTCTGTGGGATCTCTTCCTAAGAGCACTAATTCCATTCATGAGAGATACACCCTCATAAACTAATCACCTCCTTTTAAAGGTACCATATCTAACACCATCATATTGGGTGTAAGGGCTTCAGCATGTGAATTTTGAAGGATACAATCGTTCAGACCACAGCAAGCAGTTCAAGTTAAAGAGTTAGAACACAACAAACAAGGTGTCTTAGCAACGAGCCAAGGAAGCCTATAGCAACGTTTGCATAGAATGGTAAGAGATGGTCACGTGTGATCTTTTCAGCCACAAGCCCCACATACTAAAAACAACATCAATGAAAATGAAGATTTGCTTACACAAAGATATGCAAGTTCGTGCAGTTCCTAAGTAAATATTTGTAGTGTGGTAGACTTGTATTTTATTTTGCTATAGACAAAGAATTTTTTTACCTAACTCAAATAAGGTCCTGGTATGGTATTTCTTTGGTTCATTTCCTGATTAGTTAATAAATGGTCCAACAGCAGAGATATTTTTTAATAGTATAAATGCTATAGGGAAGGACAATTTACAGTAATTCACCTATTCATAGGTGTCATTTTCACTAGTTAAATAATACTCTAAATTACTGTTCTTAAGTTCCTTCTCAGTGCCAGGAGATGGGAACACAAAAAATGAATAAATAAGACAAACTGTTAGGGAATCAAGTATTAAAGCCTGTGGCCAACTCTGAACTGTGTTGGGGGTGTGGGGACTGGGAATAATGGAGCTGGGAAGTTTCAGAAAGGCAATGAATTTGAGATAATCCTTGAAGGATGACTAAGAGGGTCCCAGTCAGGCAAACACAGGGTAGAGGCAGCAATTTTCAAGACAGATGGAACACTGCGTTCACAGGCTTTAGAGTGAAGTGCACAAGGGCGTGGGTAGAGTGGCAGGAGATGAAAGATAAGGCTGGAGAAGTAGACTCAGTAAAGATTGTGAGGGATCATGTGTGCTTTGCTAAGAATTTGCAAATAGTCATAGATTGTAAATCAGTTCAACTTGAAACTATTGTTTAACTAGGCAGCGTTTAGCAAAAATCTCTTTAATTGCACTCCTCCTAGAAATTATAGCCGAAAGTGGATTATGTTACTTTGTCCATAATCCTTTAACCTGAGTAGGTTTTTTTTCTTTTTAATAAGTAACTTGAAAGTATGAGTTGTAGAGACATGCACCACGGATTAATTTATCTTCAGAAGAACTTCCAATGTTTTTCTTTTTTGCTATCAATTTGTTTGACAAGGTAAGCATTAAGAAGGAAAACAATTCAGACAATATCTTCAAATTAGTTGTTTAAAATTAGTTTTAGAAATTAATTTATTACTAATGGATTTGATATTCTTTGGGAAAAGTATGAATAATTTCATAATTACAAACAAAATTTTAAGAGTTTTTAATGTGAATTTCAACATAATGTTAGTCTGAGCATTTTAAATGAAGAGTTTGATAGTTTATAAATCAGCAACAAAACTAAACTAGAAGAAGAAAAAACGTTACTTGAGCATGGACTTTAATAATGAAAATACCCAAAATTTAATTCTGAAACCAGAAGTAGTTTATTTTTGAAAATCATTATCTTTCTTAAACGAGGAACTAATGTGTTTTTTTAATATCAAAAGTCTACTGGTTTCTCACTCTATGTTATTAATTCTTAAGTTGACACAATACATTTTATTATTCAGTTGTTACCAGGAAATATAGTCTATTTTCTTTCAAAGGTTCAATGAAATTGTTTGCTTTTAGCTTATTGTATATCAGATATCTTCTACAATTATGCTTAACTACTTCCCCTTGGAATTTAATGCTTCATTTGCAAACTTCAAAAAAATTAAAATCAGGGATATCTGTTATTAATTAAAATGAAATTTTACATTTTGTACACTGTGCACCCAAAAAAGAAACTTTGATGAATTTTTAAGTTAACATTAAATATTATGATATATACTTAAACTTCAAGTTTTATATTAAAAGTGTGTGTCACCGTCAATATTTTACAGTAAAACATATTACAGAAAATAATTTTTCAAACTTCTCACCCCACACATCCATTCACTTAGAAGTTTTTCATAACTGATTTTGATAATTGCGTGATAATTGATTGATTTGTTTTCTTTTTTAAAAGAAACTGTTGTCACGGAAGGCAAACAATTTATTGGCATTTTTTCCATACTTCCAGTCCCCACAAATCACTATTCAGGGTTAAGGTTTTGTGGAATGTACAATTTACACATGGGCAACTCAACATGTACTAGATGCACATAATAAATATAGATAGGTCAGAAACAATTTAAAGGTCAGGCTACCTCTGCTTGGGTAATTGTAACAAAGTGTCCTTTTTTATTAAATACTTTCCAAAATTATTTAAATATTAAAACGTACCTGAAAGGAATTTTAAATTCCTTATCCAGCTCCTGAGATGAAGCGTTCGTTCTGGTTTCGAGTAGAGATAGTTTGTCCTACTGGGGCACCGGTAAGGTCCATCTTCCTTGGGATTGGCAGTTGCCGTGGTTACTCTTTGTTTGGAGGCTCCGGGCGCTGTTTTCCAACAAAGCCGAAGCTTTAGCTGCGGCTGGGTGAGCCGAGACCCCTCAAGGCCGTGGTTGGTGTAGGGGGAAGCGAGGCAGAGTTGCGGGAGCGCAGGCGGAGCCGGGCCCCTCTCCGCGGCGGCCAGGCTTTAGGGCGAAGCGGGGACCGCGCGCCCAGAGGGTGGCTGAGCGAGTCTGTGGAGCGAGAGGCTCCTTTCAAGGGTTTTGAAGATTTGTGGTAGTTCATTCGGAACTTGAAGAACTACAGTTGAAAGGTGGAGTTCCTTAAAATTTCCCATTTTTGGTAGCTTTAGCCAACTCCAAGTGGTGTATTGTCAACTTGAAGTAGTTTACTGTAGCCTGTTTGGAATGGGATCCATCTCGGGCTGCCCTGTCCTATCCTGTAACCACCGGCTACAGGTGGGGTGGCTATCGAGGGCTTAAATGCAGCGAGTGCGAATTGAAATGTGCTGTAGGTGTAAAATACACATCGGATATTGAAGAATTATTTTACAAAACAAAAATATAAACTTTGTAATTATATTGGCCTTATAATTAATAATTTTCTATTGATTATATGTTGAAATAATATTTTGGATATATTGGATTGAATTAAATATATTATTAAAATTTCACCTGTTTCTCTTTACATTTTAAAAATTTGCTACTACAAAATTTAAAATCAAATATGTTGCTCAAATATGTAATTGGGCAGGGCTGATCTAAAGAGCCAGTAGATGAGCAGAGAGGGACATATAATGAAAATGTCTCCTTTACCCTATTCTCCCACCTTTCTTTCTATAGAAAGTTTTGTGAATCTGTACATTCTGCTTTATAGCCATGTTTTAAAAAAATCTAATTTTCCACCTAGCAAAGCTTTTGAATCGCATTTTAATTGATTACAGGTAGCATTTTGCACTGGTTCTGGTTTTATTTTGTTTTCTTTTGGAAGAGGGAGGTTATGAGTAAAATTGAATATCTTAAAATTAGCTTTTAAAGTTATAAAAGTAATACATATTCATGATAAAAAAATCACTCAACATAAAGGTATGAAATGAAAATTAAAAGTTCCCCAATTTCTTCCAGAAAGTTTCTGTCTAAAAAAAGTGTGTGTACGTGCATATAGTTATGCAAAAGAGATGTTATTCTCTGTAGTTTTCAGCCACTTGCCTTTGTTCAATTATTTCTTCTTGGCTACCTTTCCACAGGAGTACAGTAAATGTACCCATTTTTTAAAGGACTTGTGTAGTATTCCATTCTATGGATTTATCATAATTTATTTAACTGTCCTCTTAGTACTTAGAATATTTTAAAATAAATTTTTATTGAGGTAATTATAGATTCACATCCAGCTTAAAGAAATAATGCAGAAATACCTCTTATACACTCTGTCCAGTGTCTGCCTATGGTAATGCTTTGTTAACTCTAGTATAATATCACGACCAGGATATTGCTATTGGTATAATCTGCTAATCTTATTCGGATTGCCTCAATTTTATTTGTATTCATTTGTGTGTGTATTATGTAATACACTATTTATCATCTGAATATGTTCACTAATTAACCACAGTCAAGATACTGAACAGTTCCAACACTACAAGGATCTCTCATGTTGCCCTTTTATCACCATAACCACCTTCCTCCAATCCCATCCACTCCATTAGTGGCAATCACTAATATGTCCTCATTTTTATAAAATTTTAGTATTTCAGAAGTGTTATGTAAATGGAATCATATAGTCTATTACCTTTTGCTGTGGGCTTTTTACTAAGTGTAGTTCCCTGGAGATTCATTGGTATTGTGGCATATATCAATGGTTCATGCCCCTTATTGCTGATGGTATGGAGGTACTAGAGTCCGTTTAACTATCCACCTATTGAGGGACATTTTGGTTGTTTCCAGGTTGGGACTATTATGAATAAAACCGTTGTGAACATTTGTTTTGGTGTGAGCATAAATTTTCATTTATTAATGAAATTTTCATTTCTCTGGGATAAATGCCTAAGAGTGTATGCAATACATGGAGATCAGTCGAGTTAAATCATTTACGTGTGAAAGAAAGATACGTGATATCTATAGCTAGAGGAAGGACAGGCACAGGTATTGTGTGGGTTTTTTTTTTTTTTTTTTGATAGGAATGAACTGATTTTGTTTATGGAGGTAGTGGCAGTGGAATACAAATGTATGGCAAAGTAGTAAACAGAAGGGATAGTGGATGGAGCAGACAGTTCAGTAGGTGAGAAGTTGTCAGATTCAGAGCATAAGTACAGGATTACACTTTATTAGGAAGAGGGTCTCCTCTCCTAATAAGATTAGAGTAAGAAGAGACTTCAGGAAAGGAAATAGGAAAATGAGGATGTTTCATTTTCTCTGTTAACTAGACTATAAACTCTATGAAAACAGGTTACTTATTTAATCAGTGTATTTGTAGCACCTAGCACTGTTGTGGATGCATCTTGTAGCCTCCCAAAAAGTTGATTTTGAGATGAATGAGTAAAAGATGGAAAATAAAGAGGAAGGGAGTGGAAGGAGGGATGGAAGAACACAGAGCATGGAGGAGGGAAGGAAGGAGGAAGGAAGGAAAGAAAAAAAGGAAGGAAGAGCCGGGAAGAAGACAGCAGTGGAAAGACCAGGGACTGGAGGAAAGAATGAAAGTTTGGAATAGTCTGGAAAATAAAATAAAAGCTGACTAGTACAATATTTTTCAACCTTTTTTTTATACCAAGACCCACAGTAAAATAAACAAACAAAAATTTTCATTGCAGGTCATGCACACGTGCATACATATACATGTACTTATAATTGAAACAAGTTTTTTTAAACAACTTTTACCTGTAGTATATGTAGTGCACTTACAGTTTCTTTTTTGACTTATCCTAACTTTTCCTATTCTATCCTATCATTTAAACTAGATGATCAGGAGCTACTAAATTAATTTATTGATCCACGAATGGGTTACCATCTGCAGTTTGAAGACTATTGGACTAGAAGTTGTTCAAGGGACTGCTGGACAGATAATGAGCTTGACTGAGTTTGGATACCATTTGATAGTGGGAAAAGCACTGACTTTGGATTCAGGATCTCTGAATTAGGATCCTGCTTCCATTACTTACTAGCATCATACTATGGCAGTTAAGTAACCTCTTCCAACCTTGATTTTCTCACCTATACAATGACTATAATGACCTTTAACCCATTAAGTTATCAATCACTCAAGTGTCTTCTAGTGCCTGGTTTGTCACAGGTACTTAATACATGGAAGCTAATGATGGTAGTTAACGATGATGATGTGAAGACCTACTACAATGTACTGCTTGACCCATATCCATTACAAGCATTAAAGATTTAAATGAAATAAATATTGAACTTATAAGCCATGTATTAGCCATTATTGCAACATGTTATTGTTGGTTAAAACATGTGGCTATCTGGTGGAATTAACAACCCTGATTTAATGAGTAGAAACTAACCACATGTTTCCCCATATATAGACATAGGTTGTTCTCTTATAAGTATTTTAATCTCTGAATACTCAAGCTGTTCAGAGGTATTTTGCCATTAATTATTACCATGAAAATGAATTTTAGTGTGAAGTTTCTTGGTTCAGAAAGGTAAGCCAGTTCATTCCATGTAACGTTTCCCTTAGAGAATTTAAGAGTACTATTAGAGTTGATCATTTTGTAGTCAAAACATTAAAGAAATAATGAATGAACATAGGGAGAAAACATTTTCTTCAATATATAGTACAGCCATGATAAGGTGTGAGAAAAGTTTGTTAAACTAAAGCTATGTTAAACTAAATTTTTACCTAGAGCATGTTGGATTGGTAGGGCACATTAAAGAACCTATAGTTTTTACCAGCATTTAGCCTCTTCAATTTTCTTTAAATGGTTTTGTGTTTTATTATGAAGGATGATGGAAGACAACGATGATGATGATATAAAGCTCAAAGAAGAAATAGAAGCTGAATTGGATAAAATCAGCATTTCTTCCTTGGAAAAAGATGATTTTGATAGTGATTCAAAATCAGAAACCCAGAGTGATACTAGTGATACAGTAAGTGTTGTGTTGTATTTTTGAGCCTTTTAACTGGATAAGCCTTTTAGGAGAAATATTACTTTTCTCAGTGTGTTTTGTATATTTATCTCATTTTTTCCTTAGGGTCACCTTTAAGCAATATATATTAGTAGATATTTAGATATAAATGGTATATTGAAGGTAGAAATTACCTATAATTTCACATGTATATGTGTGCATTTTTCACAAAATTGGGATTGTACTATACGTATAATTATGTGTATATGTATATACATGTATCTGCACACATGTGTATGTTTGTATCCTGCTTTTTTTCCTTAATCATGAGCATTCTAATGTGATTAGATATGCATAAAAAGCAAAATGTATGTGAAATCTTTAGACCAAAGAATAGTTACTTTTTTGGAAACCAAACGTTTATTTTCTTTTCATTTGTGTATTTTCTCCAATGTTTATATGCCTAGAAAAGTTATTCATGGATTCATTCTTTTATATAAAAATCCTTAATCCAATGGAAACTTATTTTCAGCTATGTTATAAAAAGTAGGTCTAGTTAAAATTTTCCTGCATATATTTAACAAATATTCCCAGGGTCACTTATGGAATAATCCACCTCTTCTCAATTGATTTGTCATATCTGTTGTATATATTTAGTTGTTATACATATGATCTGTCCAAGGCTATTTATTCTTTTCCATTATTGTGTTAATTTTTGCCCTATAGTGGTTTTATATTTTTAAATATAAAATGGGTCAAATTCCTTTAGTCGTTCTGCTATTTCAAAATCTTTTCAACTAAGCTTTTTTCAAAAAACTCATTTGTCAAGTTTCAAAAAATAATTACAATTTGATTTTTAATTAGGATTGCAATAACC